TCTCTCTCTCTTCCTCTTTCTATCTTCCTCCCCCCCTCTCTCTCCCTCTCTCTGCCTCTCTCCCTCCCCCCTCTCTCTCTGTCTCTCAACCCATTCATCAAGGGTCAGACAGTTAACCGTTGCACAATCACTCCTCATCAGCACCAACAACAAAAGCTCGCCTCAACACTATGGTCATGCCCGTGAGATGTGAGCTGTGAGTGAGACAAGGAGTCTCCATTACACACGGACACGTCACGCAATCGTCTGCGTCAAACAACAGCCGCGAGGATTTACAAACGGAGCCCAGTGCCCAGACAGAGAAAGCGTACTTAGGTCAGAGGGGCACTCAGCAGAGGGTCACGGGAAAGGAATTTTGAGAAAATCCAGGGGCTTCCCTGGTCGGTACAATTTGAGAGACGCCTGGTCGAGGTCTGAGCGCCCCGGATGTGATGAATCGCAGACCCACTGCACGAACCTCTCCACAAGTCAAAGCAAAATGTGTCACGACGCGGTGGAATCAGGCGCTCGTCAGTATTTGGGCATGTAAAAGTTAACGGTACGTTCTTAAAGCCTGTCCATTTGCATTGCTTTCAAAGAAAACAGTACCCATTTATCTTGGATTCAAGTCGAGATATTTGCTATTGAAGGAGGTCGGGTCGCCTGGTTTCCGAAGTAAAATCAGCGAGCAAATAGTCACCAAAATTTTGTGACTTTCATAGCTCAAGAGTTCTTGTAAACTGCAATGTTACATTTTTCGTGCTTTTAAGGAACGTTTTTCCATAAAATCCACACATAAGAATGTTTTGAATGGACATACAAGGTGTTGAGCCAGAAAAGAAAAGTGAAATAACATTCCAAGCAGGCTGAAAAGAAACACGCTTTCTTACTTTTCATTATTTTGACGAGCGCTTGATTTCACCACAACACCTCACAAATAAAGCCAAATAGGTATTGATGGATAGCCACATATATACTGCCTTCACTTAGAGTCGTTAAGTCCAAAGGGAAAGTCAGTCAGAAATTGTTGAAAGCTAAAACTTTTGCAGCCGTTTCAGCCATGTTTTTTTCTAGGTGTAATAATCGTTTGACAAAACTCTATATATCGATAAAATATCTTTAGGACGTATTACTGTATTCATATTCACTGGGCTGTACAATTACTATGTCGAGAGAAAAGTGTTAATTACAGTCCAAGAGGCAGAGAACGTTGCTAACCATATCTTAGTAAACCTAGGGTAAAAACTAATTTGAATTCTCCCGCCCACATCCCCTTCCCTTTTCACATTCTTAAAATGAGTAAAGAACACCCAAAAAAGTTTAGAAAATAATGTCATGACTATTAGAAGTATGTGGTCCCCACAGAGTGTGAAGACCGTGGGAGTATGAACTTGGTCTAAAACATTCCGGGTAAAGAGCTGATCTGGTGACAGGAGTTGTGCACTCACACTGTGAATAAATGATGTACTCCGGTATTGTACAGTTGAATTCAGTGAGGACACCACATTGCCGAGAACGCGATGGATTCAGTAATCATTGACTTTTACATTTGGTCGCTTTTAAATACAAGGGGGCTATCCCGAAAAATGCTGCTTTGAAAAAATCGAAGGTAAAGTTTTAGGAACCTTGTTAAGTTTCTTTAAAAGACAAGGCGATTTTTCTCTATAACCAAACAAATATACACATCAATGAAACCATATTTCTCCTACTAGTAGGGCAATGCCCACTTTTTGTGTTGGTTAAGATTTCTGAAAACCCCTGAAATCTGAGTAAGCCCGCTTGTCGTTTAAAGCGACCATTTGTCGACACCAATATTTTCTACTGCGCCCTATTCTACACAGTGGAGGTCTGACAGATCAAAGCAGTGCTTTATTTTTAAGCTTCGTGGTTACAGTTTTGCTTGGGCAAGGGTCAAGATTTTAAAATTACCACAATTATTTTATATAATTAGCAATCGTTGTCTTAGTCTTTTGGAACAAAATTTGAAGTCAGCTAAGTTAGTATGTTGTGACCTTAGGTTTCAATAGTAGAGGTATCTATTTTAGCTGGCCTTCCCGAAGTTTTCTCAAAGATCAGAGAAGTGAGATGAAAGCATTAGCTCCTCCACTCTCAGGCCTTCCCCGCAGCTCAACACAAACCGGCGGAAAAATAAACAGTTGGCTTTTGTCCAGCATGTTCTCAACAACTCTAAATACCCCCACCATCTCTCCCTCAATGATTATAAATGCGGTCTCTGCTCTCCCTACCCTCCTTCCCAGTATCAGATATCAGGGGAACCAGTAACCCACTACACAGTTGTTATTAGCACAAATACCCTAGGGAACCTTATAGGGCTAATCATTTACGTTATGGACTAGCTTACACTAGACGTGAGCAGCGATAGGTTCAAGGCGTGCGGGCGGCGCCACCTGTCCTGTTGCTCCATCAGCTGCTACTGTCTGTGAGCACCCTGCACGTCCGGTGACCTTGACCTTGGCTATGTCACTCCTTCCTTCACGGGGGCTCCTCCGTTAGCTCGGTTGGTAGCATTGTGGTGACCTACAAAGTAACTGGCCCTGGTTTGAATTTGATACTGGTCGTTGTTGACTTTTGGTCGTGTTGAGGGTTTTTTTTTTCAAAGCTCTCTGTGAACATTTGGCTCGGTCCAATCAGAGGCAAACGATAAATTCGGAAGTCGCACCTCGTTAAAAATCGTAATCATATTGGTAGAGGAATTACATCCCTACACTCACACTTAGTAACATTTTACTTTACCCTTTATCCTACCCTACATCAAAGTCCCGCTGTTTTAATCGCGGTGGCTAATCCAATGTAAATGACGTCCTCTGGTTCGTACAACGCGGTGAGCTTACCACTTTGTCAGCCACTACCCTTTTCCTGTCTCTCTCTCTCTCTCTCTCTCTCTCTCTCTCTCTCTCTCTCACACACACACACACACACACACACACACACACACACACTCACACACACAAACACATAAATGTACTTACACACCCGATAGTATAAACATAATAATATACATCCATATATCTATCTATATATAACACTACCAACTATTTTTCTTATCTCACAGTGCGTCAAAATCACATTCAGAAATGGCGGGGTTTTTTAAAACTCAACAACAAAAACAATATTATAATAACATAACGTGTAATAACATTCACCAATATCACCCAATAACAAATCCATACCTCAGTAATACAAAGTTCTCTCTGACTCTTTCTACAGCCTTTCTACTGCTACTCCTTGGCTCCTCCTAATTGCTGTCTTTCTGCCACACCCCTGATCTTCTGGTGGGA